TATATATATATATATATATATATATATAGATATATATATATATATACATATATATATATATATAGATATATATATATATATATATATATATATATATATATATATATATATATATATATATATATATATATATATATATATATATATATATATATATATATATATATATATATATATATATATATATATATATATATATATATATATATATATATATATATATATATATATATATATATATATATATATATATATATATATATATATATATATATATATATATATATATATATATGAACAATTTTGGAGGAAAGATGCATGACAAAGTGTAAAAAAGTTTAGGACTTCATCAGACTAGGTTTGTTTATATTGATGCAATTACACATGCAAACAAACAAGATTCTGGAATGTCCTAAAGGACAAAATGCGTCACACAAAATACTTTTTCCACTTTGTCATACATCTTTCCTCCCAAGACAATCGACTATGAGTATAGGAATGTGTGTAGCAGCAAAGTATATATATATATATATATATATATATAATATGAATCATTCATACAAAAACTTTACTAATCTACTTTTTCTATGAATGATTCATATAATATAAATTGAACTGCACCACATATTTGATTTAAAAAGAACTGATCCGACTTGCAAATTTTCAGGATAACAGCTGCGACATTACTCTATTTATTGAACAATTTAGTTCATGTCACATTGACTGAAAAAACTCCTACAACAAAAAAATTCTCAAATTACCATATTTGTAAAAAAAACGCACTCTCTTAAATTTTTTAAAAATTCAACTTAGCGTTGTGACTGCCCTCTCCATAAGTTTCTATTTGTTAATGATAACACATTTCTAACAAAAACATATTTCGATTCGCATTTAATTTTTTCGAGTCTGCTATTACCTGGATCTACTAAAAAAAAATAATAATTTCCATGCCTGAGGATGGCTGAATGTACAGCCGAAAGTACTAGCAGAATAAAAAAAAACTTTATACAACTTGAAGTTATTAAAAACAAGAATCATAACATTCATCAAGTGGTTTGTAGGTTAATATAACTTTAATAAATTTGTATGCAAAGATGTTTTTCGCCATTTATATCATTAACTTTACTAATCTACTTTTTGTATGAATGATTCATGTATTATAAATTGAACTGCACCACATATTTGATAGATATATATATATAATGATAAATAAGAAAATACAATATTTGCCTCCCTTGCATAGAAAGAAAACAAAAACTTTGTGAATTTGAAATTGATATAGAATGATAAAAAATGCAGTAAAATGAACAGTAAAAATGTTTTGAATTTACAGAAATATATATATATATATATATATATATATATATATATATATATATATATATAAACACACACACAACAATTTAACCCCCTGAAGATGGCCTCAGATGAGACTGAAAGTACTTAGGAAAATAAAAATTATTTGGAAGAAAACTTTAGGTATTTTTCTTAATTAATTTTCTACAGCTACCAAAAAATTGATTCATGGACTTGAAAGGATTAAAACAAAAATAAACAGACATACTATGTCTAAATTATTAACCAAACCTTTTGAATATATATATATATATATATATAAATCTCAAAGATAGTACAAAACAAAAAATGCCGGCAGTTAATGGGATATTGAGAGAAAAGACATTTAAGGCAAACAGTCTTTACAGTAAAATCCTCAATCTCAAAGATTAATAGGATTAATGTGAATAAAAGTTTGTCACTTAGCTGATTAATGTTACTTTCAGCATCCCAACTCCAGAGTTTCATAGACAAACCTGTCTGTTCACTCTTCAAGGGGTATCTGCTTATATTTTTTTTAACATCAATGTTAGATGTATATAAAAAGGAAAAATCAAAAAAAATAGAAGCAGTAAATTACTGAACCCACTTGAACAGTGGATGGACAGATCTGCCTACGAAACTCTGGAGTTGAAATACTAAGTGGCAAACATTTTATACACATTAATCCTAGATACATAATCATTCCCCCCCCCCCCCCCAGCAAGGCGGGAATGCTACTAGCACAACAGGGTTACAGAGAGTGAAAGTTATAGAAAAGACTGAGTATAAGGGATATTGAGGAAAGGATAAAAGATGAATGAGGTTCAAGATGATGGAAGATGGTGATTGACATTGCATTTAAATTTTTGAAGATTGTAGTTTTCAGGGATGCCAGTGAATGAAAGTGAGTTCCACTGTCAGAAAATGCAAAAAAAAAAAAAGAAACTTGGAGCAGAAGTGGCAGTTGAATTTAGCTATTTCAACAGTAAATGGGTGGGACCTAAATGCCAATCTAGTGGCACACTTAATTTCACGCAGTCAGGTCACTAGATGTAAAAAAAAAATCATCATAGCAGTTGCCATGAAAATATTTGTAGAAAAGACAGAGGGAAGCCACATCACATCTGTGAAAAAATGAGTGAAGTTGAGATGCCAAGTCAGAATCAATTACATTGCAGATCCTTCTCTGAATTTTATTAAGAACCTCAAGATGAATAGCATGCGCACCAAACCATATACGGAAACAGTATTCAATGCATGGCCAAATGTGCAAGATGGACTCTGACAAGAAAAATCTTCTGGCCTGACAGAATGAACCAACTTTTCCTTGCAGTAGATGCAACTATTGATTCAATGTAGTTGTTCCACTTCAAGTCAGTTGAAAACATGAGGCCAAGAAGGCACAGGGAGATGCTCTCCAGGAGTCGTCAGCCATGCTGATGACAGGCAGGGAAGTTTTTCTATAGTGATTAAAAAGAGAGAGCAATTAAGTTTTGGAGGCATTAAAAGTTGCAAGCCATTTCCTGTCTCAGTTAACCACTGAGTGGAGGTCCTTTTCAAGAGGAGCAGCTAACTTTGTCAGCTCTGACGAATTTTATATATATATATATATATATATATAGTTTTGTGTGTTCTAAAAATGAAAGGTTTTAATTTTGAAAAATCAAAATGGCCAATATTAATGTATTTGTAAGACTCAAAAATTAAAATATGCAAAGGTGGGTTTCATTTTATATTCCCATTAAACAAATAAAACAGCCTGTAATCCACATCTAGATGAGTGACCATTTGGAAATATCAGATGCTGTAAGCTTGGATGTGCAGGCAGTGTAATGGATAACAGCTCACAATAAGAAATCAGAGAGCCGAGTTCAAATTCCAGTTAGGTTTATTACATTCACTTATGCGCAAATACCTTTGGAAATGTATAAATCCACCTCTTCTTCTCCCAACTATGGATCAATTAGTAGGACTTGTATCAGTAAATCATTATTATCTCTAAAAAATTCTTATGATCTAGACATGTTTTCTGGCTCTAAATAACCTGAAAAGGGTTGATAAAAATCAAATCAATCAATTGTACATCACATAAATATAACTAAAACTAGAGACTCCTCGTAGTTACATGCAGTATCTCTGACATTTGACTTAGATATCAACTTTGATTTTAACTTCTACTTTTCTACAAATTTTTTTTTTAATTCTCTGTCTTAGATCATTCTTCAGTTGTATATTTTGAGGACTCCTTTTCAAAAGACCATATCACAAAAAAAAAAACTGCTTGTAATTCACTCAAATATTATAACTAAAACCAGAAACTCTCTGTCATTATTTGACAGAGGTATTCAGAAAGCTATTTGGCTCAACATAAAAAGTTTGTTTTTCCACTTGCAAAATATAAAGAAAAAAAAACATTTCACGGTTTGCTCAAGCACATCATGGTACTAACGGAGGGATAACAACTTAGGACATATAAATGAAACTGCTTTCAATGGAAATTTTTGTAATTGTTATTGCTACATGTTTCAGTCAACCGTCGATTGGATGAATGGGTAAATGTTGACCGATTTGATCTACAAACTAAACTTGAGGACCAGCAGAGTAAAGTGAAAGATCTTTCCCTCACGCTGACTGACCTGAGCGATGGAACTGACCGGAAAATTACACGTAACCAGAAACGAAAACATGATGAAATCAATCATGTTCAAAAAGTAAGTGTGTGTGTGTGTGTTTTTTAAGACTCAAGATTGCTAGTTTGGGAGAAGATGTAACTAAGTCAGTTTAAGTAATTTAACCTCCAACACTCTGCATTATTAATATTACTTCCCTTGGAAAGGGAAGTAATATTAATTATTCTTTTTCAAGGCCTCTCAATTGCAGTATACTTATAGTTAATTCCATTCAAAGTTGTTTTCTGCTGCTATATCAAGATTTGACAACACAACTATAAAATTCAAACACACTATTGTTCAGGGATCAGAGTCACGTTCAATGGCAGCAAATGAAGTCACAGAGTGATAAGGGTTAAGCTAAATTTCTTTAAATACACATTTATATATCTATAGGCATATATATGCATAAGCTTCATGTTTACTTTAACTGTATTATTTTAGGAATTAGATTTTAATTGGTTTCAACTCAGTTTTTATTTATATATTGGAATTTGTTGTATTTTCTTTTCTCTACCATTTTATATACTAGAATTTTTTTGTAACATACTGATGAGTGTTGAAATCCTTACAGTATTTAGTATTGTTGAAATTATCACCAACATTTTTTGTCAAGATTAACAAACTCTACATTTCATTCAATTTCACAAACCAATTGATGAAAACCTAGGTATGTCACACATTGCTTTCCCTTGTTTCTCTATCCCCCAAGTGAATATCAGATTCTCCAAGCCCTCCTTTTTCTTCACGTGTCCCACAAATTTCAGCTGCCTCTTCTTGATGTTAAGTATAAGCTTCCCCCTTGTTTGCATCCTCTCCAAAACTCACCGTTGCTCACATGTTCAGTCCATGGTATCCTTAGCAAACTTCTGTAGAAACACATCTCCATTGCCTTTGAGGAGACCGTCCAACATTCCCTGCCGTATAGGAGGATAGATATCATGTACTCTTTTCTTTGTTACCAACAAAACCCTCCTGCCTCATAATACTCTGACTAGCTTTTGGAATGCCTCTTTGGCCTTCCCAATACATCTTTGAATCTCAGCATTGCACTTACCATACTCTATCAGAACACTTCCCAGATATTTAAATTTACACATATCCTTGATTTTATTGTCCCCAACCTGTAAATCGCATTTTTTTACTGATGACCGTGCATTCTGTCTTCTTGTAGTTTATGCTTAGTCCCTTCTTCTTGCTCTCCTTCACTACCTTCTGTAGGAAGTTTTGTAATTTCCTTTCCATGTCTGCTATCAGCACTGTGTCATCTGCATATCTTATGTCGTTAAGAGTGTGGCTACCAATGGTGAATCCTGGTAGGATTTCCAGTTCTCTCAGAATTGCCTCACTGTATAGGTTGAATAAGCCTGGTGAGAAGACACATCCTTGGCCTATGCCCCTTTTTATTTTTGAACTCATTCAGGGTTTGGGAGAAGTAGAAAAAGGACAAAACATATTGAGAACTACAAGGGATAGAGTGAAGTGGAGAGAAATGATCGCCTACATCCTGAAGGGACATGGCATATAAAAGAATTGATGAAATTTGAATAAGCTGATTTGTTTGGAAAAATACTTTGACAAAACCCTACTTTGCAGTTTAATAATTTCTTTAATTTAATTTCATAGGACTTTATGGTAAACAATATTTTTTAAGAAAGTTTTTTTCCGTTTTAACAGCAAAGAATACATCCTTAGGATTTCTTACCCTTAAGCATGCAACATACAACAGGCCATGCATAAATATTTCTTGTGGAGCCAAATTTCAACTTTTGAAGCATTTGGCCCAATGATTTGTTTATAGTTTCTCACAAATGCAAGGCGAACTGGAAATTAGATTCATGTATATAAAACCTTAACAGATATGCAAAAACAGTATTGCATTTTTATTAAATAAGTATTTGTTATTTCAATCATTAAATTGTTTTTGAAATAGTGGGAGTATTTTGTATGTGAAATAATAAAACTTTAAATTTTTCCCAAAAAATTAATGAAAATTTATTGTACTAAGCTATGCACCCTAGTAAAACTCCTTACCTATTTGTCTCCCCAAAATTTGGTTTTGATCAGTCAATGTATGACTATTTTAGAGGGTGTTTTTAGACTAACGAAAGTGACAGAATTTTACATATAATAACACTGATTCCATCAACAAAACAATTAGTCTGAAGAAGTTCTCTCCATGAACAAAACATGTCACTTAAATATTTTTTCCATTTTGGCATTCAAAATATTTGTGTGAGTGTTTGTACTTCAGAAATAAAAATTAATTCAAACAAGTTTTATTGAATTCAACCCAAAAGATCTATTTCATTTTTTATTACAATTTTTCAAGTGTTCATACAAGTATGTATATGCTTCCTAACAGTCTATTCTTTTTCTTTATTGAAAATATATATCCCCTACATGTTGTTAAAAAATATTTTGCACATGATGTCACTTATATTTGCTATATAAACATTTGAGCTAGAATTCTAGCATTGTTACAAACAGCTAGAATGAAATAATGAAAAGTTTACTCTCTTTTATATTCTTGATAATGACAAGTGAGAATCGAAAATACTTGAATAAAAATAATTAAGAGCTTTGGATAGTTTCTGTATAAATTTGATCTGGGTGCAGTGGAAGACTAGACAGGGGTTCAGCTTGTCTGATGATAAAGGGCTCCCTATATCGCTACAGCATCAGTTTGTGTATAAATGTTACCATAGTGATCGTAAAATGGTACGTTTTTGGTTCAGGACAGTAGGAGTTTATGTAAAATATTTAGTCTACTATAATTAGGATGCATCTCGTTACAATAAAACAATTTTGTGTGTGTGTGTGTGTGTGTGTGTGTGGTGGTAGACTGACCAGAGTGCCAGCTTGCCCAATGGCAAGTGGGCCCCCTATATCAAATAAAAATCCAATAGATAAACAAACACAGACAACTATTTTAGCAATATAAAGTAATAATAGAAAAGAATAAAGTCATTTTCACATTATCAGTTACTCAAGTCCAATGTGAGAAGACATTTTCAAAGCTAAAGATTATAAAGACAAGGTTAAGAAATTCACTACCTGAGGAGAATTTTGGAATCATACATGTTGTTATCTATTGAAAAGGAATTGTTAAATGAATTGGATGCAGAAGCCATTATTGGCAGATTCTCACAATCATCTAGTGAAAACAAATAGTTGCTCCTAATATAATAAAAGACATTGTGCTTTTGAACTATCTGTTAATATGTAAATTGTACATTAAACTATTTAAACATATCAACCAATTACTTAAAATTTTAAAAAAAAATAGAAGATTCAGTTATAACATTCTGTATTTACATTTGGTATCTACTGCCAATAATATATACAGTACATGTATACTGTAATTACTAATAAATACACATTTTTCTTCCACAAAAATATTAATTAAATTATTTCTTTCAATATGTACTTTTTTAAAAATTTTGTTTATTCATTATGAAAATTAAATGATAGCAATGTAGTTGTGGGAACCAATATTTTTGACCTAGTCCACAACTGTGTGTGTGTGTGTATGTGTGTGCAACAACTTACATTCAGCCTGGAAAAAAATAAAAAATTAAACAGATGGATCTCATAATTTAAAATTAAATAAATCGTTTCTTTAAAAATAATAATTGTCTACTAATTTAGGAAAGTAATTTTTGTGGTACCTTTTGTGCTAATAACAAAAAAATTGAATTGTTTCTTCAGACTGTTTTACTCAATTTTAAACTTTAATGTTTTAGGAATTACTGAACATTAACAAAGTATATTTTCAACTTGGTTTGAAATTGGCATATCTCTCATTGGCATTAAATTACCCCATTCTCACTAACGAAAAAGATTAAGGTCACCATCAGCATTGTAGTCTCGGAAGACTATCAATTTTCTATGTTCAAAAGTCAGGCCCATCATGCACTATTTTAAATGGCTGCAAAATCCAGTGTGTGAAGAGCAAACACAACCACAGATCTTACAGGTACCAGTCTCTCTCAATGGTGTTGATGAAGTGGTGGTTCTTTTTTATGTGGAGATTTTATTTTGTAACTTGTATCTCCACAATTATGTTGATAAATTCATTGCTTTCCTTTTGTCTTTACAGATGTATTTTATTTATATCTGAAATTTTGTATAATATGGCTTACAGCCATATCACATTGAAACACCAGTTCTTGCATGATCACTGAAGTTAATCTACATCAAGCCTGGTCAGTACATAAATAGGTAACCTCTTGGGGATACTAGGCACTGTAAGCTTGGATGTGTGGATGGAATAACGGATAACAGCTTGAAATTGGAAATTGGAGAGCCGAGTTCCAACTCCAGTTGGGTTTGTTATATTCACTTGGGAAAGCTTTGAATCCACTCTTCACCTTAGTTATGGATTAATTACTAGGACATGTATTAGTAAATCATTATTATCTCCATAGAATTCTTACAATCTAAAAATATTTTCCAACTTTAAATAACCTACAAAAAATTGATAAGCCATAAAAAAAGAAATGAATCAATTTACATAATTCATGATATACAAAAACCTTTTGTTTTGTATACAAATATTTATGAGTCTAATCACTGGATTATTTATTATTCAGACTTATGCTGAGATGGATCCAACAACTGCAGCCCTGGAAAAAGAACATGAAGCGGTTGGTATTATTTTTAAAAATTTGTTTGTGTTGCAGTTGTGTTTTTAGGGACTGTGTATTTTGGTTTGTGTTTTTGCTTTTTTGTTTGCTTGTTTTTTTTTTTTTTTTTTTTTTAATCTAAACCCAGACTTTACAAACTTCATTTAAAATCATCCAAATATCAGCAAAATATTTGTTGCACATGGGTTATAACCATCTATGTTTGTCTAAAAGTTTCCATTCCCTTCAAAAGTTATCAAATATGTGAACTGCCCTATTGATGTGGCCTTGCCTGCAGAAGGGTAAATCTGCCCCAAAAGGGGCTACCTTCAGGGTAGATACTTGCAGGCTCAAGTATAAACTCAATCAATGTTTACTCAAGTATAAAACTGAACAATCTTATAAACTAAAATAAAATTAATACAAATATAAAATTTGTTACTTATTCAGCACCTCTACTTCAGGATTTTATCAGCAAACCTTTGTCTAATTGTTTGGTCCACTCATCAGGAGGTATCAGCAAATGTCTGTCAATTTTCTCATTTTCATATTAAGTTAAAAAAAATAATTTATGCACTGTTTTATTGGTTTTAGGTTGATTTTTATTCTTTGTGTAGGTATGTACATGTGTATACGTGTGTGTATATACCTATATGTGCAACTATTTCTTCTTTTCATAATAAACTAAAATATAATACTGACATTGTCTATAAACTGCAGTATAAAACTGACAATGTTAATATTGTTGTGGTAAGAGCAGGTTACCCTCTTTACTATCATGAATGGATTGATCCATTCATGATAAGTAGTCCTGGGTAATTTTTTAGGAGGAAGATAATAATACTATTGTAGTAACTTGTCTAGCTGAGTATTGAATACTACTATCAGAACTAACTATGTTGAGTAAGTGTTGTGTCTTACCAGACCCCCACATCACAACAAATATAAAAACCAATTTTGACATTAAATAACTCAACAAAGGTTGATGCATAAAGTCCACACCACAAGAACAGAATTAATCTTCCAGTTTCTGAATTCTTAGCTATCATTGAAAAATATTCAAACCATTGAGTATTTTTGATGAAAGCATTTGATGTTTTATTGACCTATCTTGCCTTTTATTCTTTACAGATTACAAAAGTGAAATACATTGACAAAATTCAAATTGGCAAATATGAAATTGATGCCTGGTATTTTTCCCCTTATCCTGAGGAATATGGTAAACAACCCAAACTTTGGATATGTGAATACTGTCTCAAATATATGCGCCTGGAAAAGACATATCGCTACCACCAGGTGAGGACAACACCTTTCTTTATGTACATATTTCTACATATTAATTTCCACACCATATGTTGGGAGATGCATATATATATATATATATATATATGTATATATATACACACACACACACACAAACACAGGGTCTGATGGGTAAATTATCCCCATTTTATTTTTTAATTTTGCACATGTATGTTGTTTGTTTTTTATTTTATCATCTGCACAGTACAGTATAGTCGGGTCATTTAGAAGCCATCTGTTAGAGTACAATGACGCAATTCACTCTACCAGAAATTTGGAAACAGCATGTTGTACTGTTTGGCATTCACACCAGAAGCTCCAATACAAACATTTCAGTATTTGGGTGTCAATCTGAGGACAGTGCAGAGGATTTGGAAAGAGTTGGATGAATATAATGGTGATTACAAAGGTACAGCAACTCGGAAAACTCACTCTGATTGTTTTGATAAGAACTCCTGAATTTGTTGGTGAGAGCCTTGGATTTAACACGGAGACATACATCAAGTGTTTTGAGAGGGTAGTGTTGCTCTGGGTGAAGAGGGGGGCTGCTGGAAGACCCTGTGTCTAGCAACAGAATTCTGCACCATGACACACAAGCAGGAAAAATCAAAGATGAACTGAAGGCAAGGATTATGGAAACATTCACCAATTTAAACAAGGAGATCATCCAGAAGAGTTGCAGGAGATTCCAAAGTTGTCTGGAGGCCAGGGTTGAAGCCAGTGACAATTTTATTGAATAAATTTACTCTTTAGTATTTCAAGATATTTTTGTGTAATTTTTCACATCTGTTAAAATGAGATGTCAGTGTTATTTTCATTTTTGTGTAATTTAGATGACAATTTATCCATCGTATCCTGTATATATGGAGGGATGGATGTGTGACAAAGTGAAAAAAAGTTTTCATGTGACATGTTGCATCCTTTAGGACTTTGTTGGACTAATTTTTTTGGTACATTAGTGCAACTACACGTGCAGGAACGACAGATTCTGGGAATTTTAAATTTAAAAAAAAAAATTTAATTCAAAATTCTCAGTATCCCTCATTTATTCAATCATATACATATATATATATATATATATGTGTGTGTGTGTGTGTGTGTGTAAAAAATTTCAGATATAAGTAAAATATATCTATAAAAGGACAATATGAATAAAGACAAAAGGAAAACTTATTTTAGCTGATGAATTTCATCCTCTGCTGGACATTATCAAGGAAAATTTGCTTTGATAAAATCCATCAGTTTTCCTTTTGTCTTTATTCATATTGTCCTTTTACAGATATATTTTACTTATATCTGAAATGTTTATATGCATATATATATATATATATATATATATATATATATATATATATAATTAAACCTAAACTTTAAGTAAGAAAGATTACCCTTATAAAAATAAATTGCATTCATAAATTAGATTTAAAGATGTTACTGTAACTATTTTTTACAATATTAAAAAAGTACGATCGGTCGGGTAAACAAACTGTTATAATTTAAAATATTTTTTTAATATGTTCTCTATAAATGTGTTAATAAATATAGTATTTAACTTATATTAAATCCCTAAACTTTTTGTTTTAAAAAAAATTAAATATTTAAATTGATAGCTAACATCAAATTAATTTATTCGGTTTTTTTTTAGACATCTAAATTATTATCAAGCATTAAAATCTATTCTTTACATAAATTGCTAAAACCTAATTACAGCCTCTTTCTCTTTATTTCCCTCTCCCTTCTTTTTCCTTTTCTCCCTTCTCCCCTCCCATTTCGATATATCACATCCGTTAAGTTAACCGACTAAATAGGTCAAGGTCTGGTCACTCCTCCTCCGACAATAGCTGTATGCTTGAGAGAGATATGAAATTAATCCCTCCCTATATTCTACCATGTCTCTTTAACTATCCCTTTTACACTCTCTGTTAAATTACAAAAACTTACACTACCCATCAATTTTAATTTCATTTTTCATTTCATTTCATTTTTGGAAGTGCTACCTGATGATCCGGCGTCCTTTAAAAGGGCTCTGGTGAAATAAATTATTATAATGGTACCTTAAAGTGGTCTGTTTTTCTTTTAAATTTATATATATATATATATATATATATATATATATATATATGTCTGATTGAATAAATTACAAACATTATGTCTGCTTATTTTTATCATGACTATTTCATATTCACAAATATTTTTCCATATATTATTAAATAAAGCAAGAAATGCACTGTAACAGTGAGAATCACTTTTATTTTCCAAGTACTTTCCATTTTTTTTTTGAGATAATCATCATCATGAGTGCAACTAGTAAGGCAAAAACTAGCTATCCATCTCTTGTCAGCCATGGCATTTCAATGTAAAAGAAAAAAATCAGTAATGGATAGCTAGTTTTTGCCTTACTAGTTGCACTCATGATGATGATGATCTAAAAAAAAAAATGAAAAGTACTTGGAAAATAAAAGTGATTCTCACTGTTACAGTGCATTTCTTGCTTTATTTAATTGTAATATATGGAAAAATATTCGGGAATATGAAAGGATTATGATAAAAATAAGCAGATATCATGTTTGTAATTTATTCAATCAGACATGCCTAAAAGAGAATTTGTTGTTTTATTTATATGTGTGTGTGTGTGTGTGTGTGTGTTTGTTTGTTTGTGTGTGTGTGTTTGTGTGTGTGTGTGTGCTTTCAGGAAATAGACTATCATCATTCTCTACAGGTTCTTTATCTGTTAATATTTGTAAACTTTGGATTGTCTTGATTGTTTTGTTGAAAGATAATGGTTACCTATTACTTTTCTATTGAAATTTTTCTTTTGTTTCCATCTCAACATAGCAACTACATCAGATGTTAATTTGTTTTTTTTTTTTTTTTTTTTTTTTTTTTTTTTTTTTTTTTAAGTGTTTTTAGTACAACGGATAAATAATCATTTTGTTTGTGTTTCAGAGCCAGTGCACATGGCGATACCCTCCAGGAAGAGAAATCTATCGGAAGGGAACAATATCAGTGTTTGAAGTGGATGGAAAAGATAGCAAGGTATGACATTTTGCTTGTACTAATCATTTCCATATAGACCCCCCCCGCCCCATTGAGGATCAGTGAGCTAGAATAACTTGATAATATTTTTCCTCCATTTTACTTCCTTGCATAAATACAAGTTCCAAAATAAAATCTCTACATTTACCTCGATAAAGTTCCTCAAGAGACAAAATACATTGGTAAAGAAGGTTTTCCTTTCATGTTTCCGCACATCTCACACACACAAACACACACACACACACACACACACACTTATATATATATATATATATATATATATATATATATATATAAAAGTATTCTTCCAAACATGTTTGATTAAAAAGAAGCAGCAAGGTTTGTCTATTTAATTTTTATTGTATTTTTCCAATTTTTGGATAATGTGTAGAGTATTGTGTTCGAAGTTGTGGATAAACTTTCCAAGTTTATAATTTGTTATTTTTGTTCAAGTATTTTCAACTTTCACAGTCGTTATCAAGAACTGACGTAGTTAGGCTTCCTTTGACCACATCCTAGTATTCTTTTGTAAGCTGGATGTTTGAAGTGGTCTAGTGTGTCACCATGTGTAATGGTTATTGGGAATGAAGTCACACATATTTTCTTATAATAATAAAAAATAAAAATTTAAATTAATAAATCACAATCTTTTTGTGTAGCTTTGTTCCCAACATTCTTGTGTGATGTCATTTGTAACGGCCGCTGGGAACAAAGCTACACAAAAAGATTGTGATTTATTAATTTAAATTTTTATTTTTTATTATTATAAGAAAATATGTGTGGCCTCGTTCCCAATAGCCATTACACATGACATTCACACAAGACCATTTCAAACATCCAGCTTCCCTAAGAATACCAGCATGCAGACAAAGAATTTATTAAAACATTTACTATTTAATAACATTTATGAGATTCTAGTTCAGTACTTTTCACTTTACCAATGACAAGATAGCAATTTTCAAATCTAAATTGTTTGTCCATTTAAAAAACTACATTTATTAGAAAATATATTCGGTTTAAATATGTCAATGATAAAAATGGCTTAAAAATGCTGCACATTTTAGCTTATACTCTTTTCCTGTTATCCAGAGGTTGTTGACAGACAGAAAGGGAAATTGGCCACAGATGTCTATTAATTTAATTATTGTCTACAGTAGGTTTATAAAAACCCAGAATTATTGGTTTCTATTTTTAAGCCATCAATGCCTATTAGTCCTAAAAATAGGGCAGTGCACATAAATGGGTTCATTTATTAAACTTAGCTCTTAGGATCTGATAACGCTGTTTCAATGACAATAAACTACATCTGGCAGGAAGATTGACCGGTTTTGAGGAGCATAGAACCACCTCTTAATTGATGTCATTCCCAGGTCCACCCTGACCTGGGGTGGTAGCACCTGTTAGGGTCCCAGCTAGTGAACTCCCAAACAAAAACAAAACACTGTGAAAGTATAAAAATACATTTTATCTGTAGTTGAAGGCATACAATTGTGTTCAAAATATATTTAGTTGAAGTCATAAAATTGCTCAAAATATTTAAATTTCAGCATTAAATAACCCATAGAGGTGTTGATATGCCACTAAACAACCATCAACCAAACAACCAACATGAAAGAACTTTCATGATATTAATTCATATAATATCCTAAAATTTCTTAAAAAAATCAAACTGTATTTCGAAATATAACTTATAAAACACACATATCACTGCCCCTTAGTAATTATGTCCACATAAACATGTATATACACAAAAGCTGAGTATCATCTACCATGTATTCAATTGTGAAAGCAAAATAACATACATCATATTTTTATTACTTCAAAGCTCCTAAGAAAATCAAATTTTGGTATTAAATGACCCATAAGGATATTGATATACCATTAAACAATTCAAATTAAAAAAAAAAAATCAAACAAATGATATCAGTTAATATTGGTGACCTAACATTTGCATATTGCCCATTGCATTGAGCAACAACTGCATTTTGTAATATTTTTGTTTATTTATATCCTTTATTTCATTATTATCAATGACTCTGAACAGATTTTTTTTTCTTTCTTTGTTTACAGATCTATTGTCAGAACCTCTGCCTATTAGCCAAATTGTTCCTCGATCACAAAACGTTATATTTTGATGTCGAACCTTTTCTCTTCTATATCCTCACAGAAGTTGACCGACAAGGTTGCCATTTGGTTGGTTACTTCTCAAAAGTAAGACATTGTTGATTCTATTCTTGGCTTTGTTAAAAGTCCTACATTCATGGTCTGCTTTTAGTAAACTTTGCTTTTAAATGTTGAGCCCAAAGGGACATAACTCTAAAAAGTCATTTCCTCTTTTTTCTTTTCTTTTTTTCTCTTTCTCAATTTATCCTCTCCAGGTTCCTCAGATTGATCTTTCCTAATCCAGCCACTCATAATCCAAGTTCTTTGCTAATCCATACATTGATGCATAAATCCTTGAAGAAGATGTGTTACCAATTTGATTGCCACTTTTTAATTCTTAGCATCTCATACTGCACAATAACACCCTTACACTTCCACCCCATATCACCTGATTCTGCATCATCCTGGGTATGATGGTGAATTACATCTGGCAGTAAGGCCTCTGATCGGGAGGTTTTGAGGAGCATGGAACCACCTCTTAATTGCTGGGGTGGTAGCACCTGTTAAGAGTCTGAACTATAGGCAAATAGTTAATCACCAAATTGTGGTCAAAATACTGAAAGTACAAAAATACATTTTTATAGTAAAAATGCCAGCAATACATTTTTTAAAAAAAACATATTACCAGCAATAGATTTGACTCCTGACAAAAAAATCTCTTTGCAAAATATGTCGATGAAATCTGATCTCCAAACTGATTTCTTACAAAGAATACATATTCTATTCATACAGACCTATTCTAAAAAAATTTGTCAGCATTAAATAACCCATTGGAGGTTTATATGCTATAAGAAAAATTAAACCCAAACCCTTATCTACAAACCAATTTCTTACAAAGAGTACAAATTCTATTCATACGAACCTATCCTAAAAATTTTGTCGACATTAAATAACCCATTGAGGTTGATATGCCATAAAACAAATTAAACCCAAAAACTTATCTACAAACTGATTTACAAAGAATACTTTTTATATTCATATGAATTATTGTGGCCTTGTGGCCAGAAATAAAGACACAAAGAGAGGAATTGAGTTAAATATATTAACAGAAACAGTAATACAAATGAGAGTGTTACAGCTAGAATGTTCGGTGAAACTGTCAGAGCTGACTGCTGGAAACTTTCCCCTCCAAAAGGCAGTACCTGCTCCTATTTATAATGCGTGCGTGGGTAAATTACCATAATATGAACCTGTCCTAAAAGTCTTGTCAGTATTAAATAACCCATTGAGGTTGATATGGCGTAAAACAAAATAAACCAAACCAATTCTGTACAAAAAATGTTTTAGATCTTCTTGTGCTCTTTAGCAAAAGTGATTGATTTATAACACTCCCCTTAATGACAGCGTACATGTAACTTGTTTTTAAAATTTTAACCTTCATTTCACTGATGTTTTTATTTTTTTAAATGAAAAAAAAAAAAGGGAGAATTCCAGAAGAAAAGGTATTTTTTTCCTAAATTTAGTTTATTCAGAAATGTTTTGATGAAAGGAATAATGAAATTGGGACAATGTTCCTAGCGATATTTCCTTGTCCTCTTTGCACACCAATGCTAGGTATGATGAAAGTGATTATAAAACCAGTACAGATTTTACCTGTATTATATCATTATAATATCCTTATTTTAATGTCCTTGGTTGAGTTTCTTTGTTGAGTTAAATATTTTGTAGATCATCTGAAAAAAAATACATTTTTAATAGCCCATAACATTTAAACTCTTTGGAACAAAAGTAAAATGAAGCCCGAAATAGTTTCATTGCATAGGAAATTATGGGGTGTCGACTTTCTGCTTCATATTTTCTTAAGTATCAAATTTACAAGGAGCCACAATCAAAAAACAAAAACCATGATTTTGGTATATTTTAACTCTAGATAGAATTTTGTCCAGAAAATGAAACTTCTGTCACATGATGTAGTAAAAATATAAAATTTTTCTTAAACTGTTTAACTGGTCTGATGTCATGAAAATAACCAATATTAAGGATATGGAAAAAATGAGAAATATTTAAACAGTAACACAGACATTCCTATAAAAGGAATGAACATGGTTACTGCCTAGAAATAAACTGTTAGGTCATAAGTGACAGAAAAACAAATTTAGATTCTGCATCGGACATGCTTTGTAAATGAGAAGCTCTCAAAATGGACAGCATCTTTTTTGCATTTTGGCCATCTTCAGGTCCTTATAAAAATAAAAGTGCATAAGACATACCTAAACTGTTTATACTATTATTATCTACAGTAAACATTGATTATTGTCACCAAATTTCAAATCTGTACAGGCAATATCCTTGGAGTTATAAATGTCAGGAATTTGTTGAAAGCTTTATTTAGCAAATTGCAGTGAAATTTCAATAAACTCTGATTTGAAAACTATTAAAGATGCAGATTTAATATTTGGGAATTATCAATAAATTTGATGAAGGAAAACATGTGAATTTTCCCGGATTTTTCTGATAGGATCACCTTTGGCTGTTGGTTGATTTGAGATGGAATGATCCATATATATTTAAAGAGATAAACACAAAATCACTCCTTTTCTTTTCTTTTCTATTATTATTATTTCCTTCTCTTTGACAGGAAAAAGAAAGTCCAGATGGAAATAATGTCGCTTGTATTTTAACTTTGCCTCCATTCCAGAGAAAAGGATATGGAAAATTTCTCATTGCCTTTAGTAAGTGATTCTCTTTCGGCTCCTTGAAAACTTTCAATTTTTTTCAACATGCTCATCTTAAAATTTTATTATTTTGAATTTTTCAAGTTAAGACTTGAAAAATTCTTAATTTTATAATTTTATAACTCTAGATATACTTCTTGCCTTTTCTTACACTTATACAACTCCACACAGTAACTCTTTACCTTGAGTGGCTCTTGGACCTTGTACTGAGTAAACATTAGTACAAAACAAAATGTCTTGACATTTTGTGACTCCAAATACAAGTCATCACATTTCATTATTTTTCTCAAGTACTACCTTTTTGTTTTATTTTTTGTTTTTTCTTGTTTTTCTTTTGCAATATATTTATCATTTACTTCTTTATTCTTGTTTCTTTCTTTTTTATGAATGTCTTTGTTTTTCTTCCCACACTGAGATTCTTAGACAAGAATTCAAAACAATAAAGTAGTTTCATGCCTACAAAAAAAAAGTTTCAAAAGGATGGTTTTTCCCTTGATGCCACTATTATTTTAACTACCTTTACTCCTCGGCAATGTTTATTATTTTAAAAAGCAATGATTAGAATTTTAATAAAAAACTAAACATGATGAAAGTGAATTTATGCATTTTCTTTGTTTTTGAGAATTGACATAAAAAATAATAAACACTATTAGTTTGTTTATTGGAATGGTTGGCAAAACATTGGCTTATTGCCAATTGATTTGCACTTTATAAAATGGTAAATAATAACGATTTCCTTACAGTTGGTTCACATATTTTAATAATTTAGTAAATGTCTTTAAATTTATGAATAAAAAATTACTTTCATATTTATTTCTTTATATATTGGTCAAAGATAAATATTTGTTCTAATTATATTAGTTTTTTAAATATTGTAAATATAAAATTATTCTTGTAACTGAACAATCATAAAATGTTTCATAAATCTGTTGCAAATTCTCAATATCAAAAAAATGTTTAAATTTACTTTCATTATATGTTTAGGTTTTATGATAATTATTAATCATTTTTAGCAGTATACGCCGAGGAGTAAAGGTAGTAAAAATAACAGCAGTGTCATGGACAAAACTATCCTTTAAATAGTCTGTTTTTTTTTTGTAAGCACAATGTTCTAAGATTGCTCCTGTTTCAAGCAAGAATGATACTCACATTGTGATAAAAAAAAAAAACAAGATGATAAGGATAAAGAAGGTAAAAAAAAAAACCTGAAATTATCCATATTCTGCTACTTATGATCAGAGTGTAGTATCTGCTTGACATTTCTATGTTGGAATCCATTACACTTTCTGATGAAGAATCTAAGCAATCATGTACAACTGTTGAATTTTTCAGCCTAGGATCAGATTGTAGTATCTGCTTGATACCTGACCTTTCTGAGCTTGAATCAATTACACTTTGACCAAAAAATTTCCTACATAATAATATTAAGTGGGGTGGAAGCATAGGCAAAGGTGAGCGTGAAAACAAGGGTTTGAAAGGAGGAATGAAGTCCAAAGTAAACCAGGTGAAAGGAAAAAAATATACATACAAAAGAAGGTAATAAGAAGATGAAAGACAGAATGATAAACTTGTTGACTGGATATCAAGAAACTGATTTAATGTCATAAGAATTGCAATATATTAAATTTTTAATGGTGGGGGAACAAAAGAAAAGATTGAACAGAGGATTCAATTGCAAAATACGTGTATACTTTTCTCATCCCTTTTTTTGCATATGAAACTGATCTATGTTTGTGTAACATTCAAATAATAAAAAGTTTGGGAGGATTAAGGGAGAGAGTGAGAAGATACAGGCAAATGGCAAGAGAAGAGCAGAAGTATGAGATAATAGTCTTAGTTATCAACACCTGTGACATTTCTACAGGTCCAACTGGATTTATGTTAATGTGTTCTTTTTACTCACTTGGCCACAACTAGCATTTTTAAATGTTTTTACTAAACTAAATCTACCAATATTTCAAAATAACCAAACCATTTGAAGAACAATCTTGAAGTGACAGTTGCTGCTATACAACATACAAGTACATTTTGTCATATGTTGTCGCTGATGCATATGCACATCCATAGTTGCTCCTTAAAGTTTTGACTGTTTTTATTGTTTTGTTTTATTTTTTTCTTAATTATTTCTTTAAATAACCATAACTAACATTTCAGTGTTATTTTATTTTTTGGCAAATATCGAGTTATGTGGCTCCAATAAAACGTCAAAATGACAGTCTCTCCCATGAAACTGCTTTTTTAACTACCTTCACTCTCCAGCAATATTTATTGTTTTAAAAAGCAATGATTTTAGGCAAACTTGAACCTTAATCCCCCCCGCTAAAAGTGGAGTGTCAAAAGGACGATTTTTCCATTGATACTGCTATTTACTTTAACTACCTTCCATCCTCAGCAATTTTTATTGTTTTAAAAAAAACGATGATTAGAATAAAACCTAAACATTTGATGAAAGTGAATTTATACATTTTTTTGTTCTTCTGGAGAATTTACAACAAAAATATTAAACCCTATTCTCTTGCCCTGATTAAAAATTAGTATTTAATAATGGAAACTAGAAAGAAAAAAGCCTACTCACTATAAACAAGGCAAGTCAGGTACAAGGCCTTGTATACTTGCTGTCAGTGGCTCACAAGATTAACACATGAAACATAACCACTTTACATTTTTTGATATTGCATCACTTGATTTCTTTTTTGTCAGGTTATGAATTGTCCAAGCTCGAAATAACAGTTGGATCCCCAGAAAAGCCCTTATCTGATTTGGGGAAATTGAGTTATCGAAGCTATTGGTCCTGGGTGCTTCTAGAAAACCTTCGAGATTTTCGAGGAACTTTATCAATAAAAGATCTCAGGTAAAAAACAAATGTTACAATTCATCTATATTTTCTCTCTCTTTCTTCACAAGATATGACAAAAAGTATAGATTTGTTTGCTAAATCAATGTTTGTAACCATCTTATGGCCACCCAAAAAGGAATCCTGCTTTGATTTGTAAAGGAATTGATAGAAGAAAAAAACTTGTTTGCCAAATATTTTCTTTTAAAATAAACCCTTTATTTAATCTATAAGGTAGATTGTTCCCAGCCTGCTGTCCATGTTTAGGGATATATTATCTTGGTTAAGTGTCCTTTTAATACTGGTCAGTTACTTCTCATCCTTTTTCCACTGAGTTTGAGTCTGTACTATCCAGACTCGGGATTGAACTCATAATTATTATGCTTCCAAATTCATGAACCACTAGGCTATTTTCCATGAGAATGAAATCATTATTCAATATCATTAACACATTGATTGTCATATCAACATATATTTACAACATGGCATTGCAGTTTAAAAGCTATCTCCAGACACTGGTGACAGTAATATTTTCATTTTAAGTTTCTTCACACAAATGTTGGAGACACTCTAAATATATTTTGACAAATGTGAATAAACGTGCCCGCATTAAGACAGTGTTCTTTTTTCCATTGATACTGCTTTTTTAATTACTCTTCAGCAATTTTTATTGTTTAAAAAGTGATGCTTAGAATTGGAATAAAACCTAAACATATGAAAATGAATTTATACATTTTCTTTGTTGTTGAGAATTGACAACAAAAATAATAAACATTATTTATTTATTATATTGTTTATTGGAATGGTTGGAAAAACATCAGCTAATTACTAATTGATTACAAACTTTATAAAATGGTAAATAATAAGGATTTCCTTATCATTAATTCACATATTTTAATTTAATAAATTTTTTTTCTCTCTTTTTTTTTTTTTTTTTTTAATGTACTCCCTAGGAAGGTTGTTCTGTTTGTCTATATTTCTTTCTTTATCTTTGATATCTATCTTTTCTTTTGTTGTCAAAACCTCTTCGTCTGTTTGAAATAAAAAATAATCAACTCTGTATAATTTTTACTGTGCAAAAAAAATAAATAAATAAAGTCTCAGATTTCTTTAGAAATTTATTTTTTCTTTTTCTTTTTCTTGCAGCCAAATGACAAGTATCACCCAGAATGACATTATCAGCACGTTGCAGTCACTGAACATGGTGAAGTACTGGAAAGGACAGCATGTCATCTGTGTCACGCCGAAACTTGTTGATGAGCATCTAAAAAGTGCTCAATACCGTAAACCTGTTCTAATGGTCGACCCCTCCTGCCTTCGATGGGAACCTCCAAGGAAGATGCTTAAGACCACTAAAAAGTGATTAGCCAGTCTTTCACTCATCGGCTAACTTTTTTCTCTCTTTCTCCCTCTCTCTCTCTCTCTTTTTTTTTTTTATATTTTTGGGTGACCTTTGTAAGAAAAGCAAGACCAATAAGTACCTCCCAATACCTAACATTGGAATCAGCCTATTCTCCAACCATCATCAGGTGACATTGTGGATTATTTTTTCTTGTTATTTATTTTTTCCCTCCATTTTGTTTTTTTTTATGTGCCTTGTAATTAAATCCACTTTTGCTAATTTTAATTTGTTCAGAGCACAGAATTCAAATTACTGATAAAGCTGTCATGTAATTTTTGTTAAGCACTTCTCTTTCAATCATTTTGGTTTACAGCAATTCAAAAGGACAAAAGCAGAAACACCTGTCAAGCATTTTGAAATATCTCGTGTTATTTTTTTCACAGGTCAAAAACATTCACTTGATTTTTGGCAGAAATTTAAATTTTTGTTCATTTGGGCCATTTTTTATATGTTGCAATGACAAATAGATGCATACACATTATTTTTACTAGTATCCTAATCTTTTTTCTTTTTTTTTTTTTTTTAAGCAAAATATTTCAGCCGCAATGTTTTTCAGGCTTCCTGAAGTATATGGATATATCTGGAGGCCCTTTTTTCCCATCTCTCCAAGAAAAAGAAGTTGTTTTTTTTCTCTTCTTAATTAGAAAATGCTTTGTTGATAAAAATGGACAAACATGCCAACCATAAGACATAGTGTCAAAACGACAGCTTTTCCCCTGACACCACTGTTATTTTAACTACCTTCATGCCTTGGCAATATTTATTGTTTTAAAAAGCAATGATTAGAATAGGAATAAGACCTAAACATATGATGAAAGTGAATTTATACATTTTCTTTGTTCTTTAGAATTTACAACAAAAATCATAAATACTGTTTATTTATTAGCTTCTTTATTTACAAGAATAATTTTATATTTACAACATTCTGAAAACTATTCAAACTAATGCAATGCGATATTTAACATTTACCAATTTATAAAGAAATAAATATGAAAACAATCTTTTATTCACAAATTTATAAACATTTACTAAATTATTAAAATATGTGGACCAACTATAAAGGAATCCTTATTATTTACCATTTTATAAAGTTTGAATCAATTGTCAATTAGCCGATGTTTTGCCAACCATTCAAATAAACAATATAAATAGTGTAAATAAACAATCTAATAAATAAATAATGTTTATTATTTTTGTTGCCAATTCTCAAAAACAAAGAAAATATATAAATTCACTTTCATATGTTTAGGTTTTATTACAATTCTAATCATCACTTTTTTTGAAGATAATAAACATTGCCGAAGAGTAAAGGTAGTTAAAATTATAGTAGTATCAATGGAAAAAACGTCCTTTTGACATTCCATCTTATTGTGGGTATGTTTGTCCATGATTGCCACATTGTCAATCATTATTTTTTTAATTTTGTTTAGCATTTACTTCTTTTTTTCTTTTTTATTATAGCATAAGAACCAGAAATATCTTTATTTCTGATAATGACTCATTGCCATAGATTGACAGCTTGGGCAGAATTTGTGCTAACATAGTTGTGTTGTAGCTAAGTGTCCTAATCTATTAGGGCTGACTGGGCTCTTCGGCCTTGGTTGGCAACCAGTCTAGGTGAAGCACAATTCTGAATTAAAAACCATATGTAGTCTTAACATAGTACATGCTATGCAACTAACAAAAGGATCATGGAGATGACAGTGACTCAAAGATCCCAATTGCTATCAATTTAATGATTGCATGATGGAAGTACCAGTCAGAAATTAATACAAACTTCATAGCAAAACAAGTTTATATAGAAGAGGGAAGAAAATAGTATAACTATTTAAAAAAACTAGATGCAGCATAAAAAGTCAGAAACAATAAAAAAGATTTGAACAATTCACGAAATAATGAAAATACTTTAATAATTGAAATATTTTTGAAATTTGTATTTGATAAAAAAAAAAAAAGAAGAGTTCCATAACGTTTTTTTCTCTTTGTGTGATTTGTCTTGTAAAGTTTTATTTCTAAATATCCAACACACACACTAACTCCCTTTCAAGTTATATATGTATATAAAATTTCGGATATAGCTAAAAATATATCTGTAAAAAGGGCCATATGAATTAAGACAAAAGGAAAACTTATCTTAACCAATGCATTTTGTCCTCTGATGGACTTAATCAAGGTAAATGTAAGGATTTTATTTTGCAATAAGTATTTATAAACAAATGCAAAGAGGTTGTTAGTTTTTTTTTTTAAATTAAATCTAAGAGACACTCATAAATATACATCAGACAAACTGAAAAGTCTAGGTAAATTATGGAGATAAATTATTGTTTATTAGAGATTAAATTACATCACTTACCAGCTTCCATAATTTAGCTATACTTTTCAGTTGACCTGTTTAATATTTATGAGCATTCTTACATTTAAATATTTTGAAAAACTAACAACATTTTTGCTTTTATTTATAAATATTTACTGCAAAATAAAATCCTGACACTTGCCTTGATAAAATCTATCAGAGGACAAAACATGTCGGCTAAGATAAGTTTTCTTTTTTGTCTTATATATGGCCTGAAGATTGTGTTCAGGCTATTGCAACTCAGTGTTGAACTCAATGTCCACTTTTATATTTATATATATTATATTCTGTCTGAATTTCTGGGATGAGGAGTTATCATTATTTACACTATTTATATTTAGACTATTGTCCTCACCTTTGTTGTTGTTATCACAACATTTCAGCCATTGTATCCACCTGATGAAGGCCTTAGGGCACGATGGCCGAAACACGGTGATAGCAACAACAAAGATGAGGACAATAGTCTGAATGTAAATATTGTAAATAATATATTACTATATATATTTTTATGTTCCTTATGAAATTATACTTTTAGCCCTTAAAAAAGGCCGTTCCACTTATTTTATTTTATTTTTTTTTTTTTTTTTTTTTTAGATTCATCTATCCAGTAAATTTTGTGTAAAGTTTATATCCCACCATGTCACCCCATGATGACTGGAGAATGTACAGAAGTATGTTTTAAACAAAAACCTCCAAAATTAACACAATATCTGTAAATGGTAACAATGCCCTGCGTCATTCTAAGTCGAGAAACAAGAACATACTCTTCAAGTTGTTTCTCGGTGCTTAGCTAAGGATCCTTGAATGGTTTCAAATCGCACAACCGACGCATGAGTGTTGATCAAAATCTCTCTTGTAACAAAAATAAAACAATAAAAGGGTCTGACAGAAAGATGTTTAAATGATATGCCTGACTGATATGAAGATATTGTTCTTGAAAAATTTGCTCTACAGCTCTGCCAGATATTTGTCTGGCAGCAAACACTACTCTCTCTGCTTTCCGTTGGATTGTGTCTTCGGTTTTTGACCTGCAATTTTTACCAACTTTGGGAAAACAGATTGTACTTTGATGTGCTTTATTTCCACTTGAAGGCTTACAACCGGATGTTGGCATCACTAATCTCACTTCTTTTCTAGTATTAAAAAAAAAAAAAAAAAAAAAAAAAAAATTTCTGAAAAAAAGTCTGCTATATTTTGAATACATCAAATTTTGGTGTTGTGGAAAAATGGTCTCTCTTTTTCTTCTCTCTCTCTTTTTTTTTTTTTTTTTTTTTCCCCAGCAAGAAACTCATGAAAGAAAATACATTTCTCTCTACTTTTATTCTGTGATACTTTTTTTACCTTTCGGGGTTCGGATTTTTTTTTTTTTTTTCAGTTTCATTTACAATTTCTTTTTCTTTTTCTTTTTTCTCTGAAAAAGAGGAACTGTCAGTACTAATTCTTAGTTTGTTTGGGTTTTTTTTATTTTTTTTTATATATATAAACCCTTCCTCCACTCAGTGCCCCAGAAATTTCCCATTTGAAAATCTGCATTTCATACCAGGGTTTCTTTTATCATTTATCACATAGTGAGTATAGCTTATTTAAAACTCTTGACAGCACTAACAACACTTTCAAGAATGAAAAAAAAATCTTGTAAAAAAATAAATAAATAAACATTAAAAGATGAAATTGAGTTTCAACTTTGACACTGCTTCAATTCACATATGCTATGAAATCAAGCGTTGGGTCTGCAGAGTCATAAAATATCTCAAGGCAAACTAAAATATTTTTTTTTCATTACTCAAATTAAAATTTGTCTTAATTTTATTTTTAGGACTTTTATCTTCTAAAAGTACTGTAGATGCTGTCAAAAAATTTAAATAAGACATGTTGACCCGTGTTTTCTTTATTGTCTAGAATTTTGAGAAGACATTATCATTCAAAGAGATTTTCAAACAATTGGGATCATAGGCGTTTTTTTCTTTTTGTTTTGGTTTTTGTTAATCCACTTAAAGTTGGGGACAATGAATGGAACAATGAAAACATGGTTCTGGGATCAGCAAAAAGCAAAAAAAGAAAAAAAAATGGATTTAGTTGTGCAAAAATTTCTTTGAAGAGTTTTTTTTTGGTTTTGTTCATTTTTCATGATATCATTTTGCAAAAAAAAAAATAAAAAAAAACTTTGTTTACATTTTAACATAAATTAACCCACCTACTTTCTCTATGAATGAGATATGAAACCATTTTAATGACCAGAATTTATCTCCTTGAAAAAAAAAGACATTTCATAAATTTCTGTTTTAATTTCTTTTGTGAATTTGGCTATGTTTAGAGTAGCAGACAGGCAGCAAAGAGGTTCTGTTATTCATCATATAAGGCTTGTGAGCTTCATTTCAACAATCTTACCTGCTCACTAACCCTGAAACAATTGATCTGTTAAATTAACATCAACTTGAAATGATTTTCTTAAAAGCAAATTGCATTTTAATGAAGAAAAAAGAGAAATGCAACAGGTTGGGTTGGGGGCAATGAATGAAGGTCGCTGTAGAGGTTACCATAACCTAGCCTGGGACAAAGCCACAATAATAGGGTACCCAATGAGGATCAAAATCAGCAGCTTGCAAAAAACAGATTACTAACCATCACTATAAAATCATTGTGTTTTTCAGAATATAACACACATTGGTGCATAAGATGCACTCTTATTTTGAAGACAAAGTTTTTGGGGGTGGGGTCTGCAGTCATATTTCAAAATTCAGTCAGATGCTTTATAGTTTTGAGTATGATGATAAACTACACCCAGCATCAACGACTCTGATCGGGAGATTGGCGGTTTTGAGGAGCATGGAATCACTACTTAATTGCTGTTGTTCCCAGGTCCACCCGGACCCAGGGTAGTAGCACCTGTTAGGATCCCAATTATGGTCAAATAGTGAACCCCCAAACAAAGACAAAACCCTATAAAAGTATAAAAATACACAGCAATACATTTTTATATTAAAAAAAAATACCAGCAATACATATTTATAGTAAAATGATTGATAATACATTTTATCTGTACTTGAAGGCAGACAGCTGCATTCAAATTATTTAGATTTTGGTATTAAATAACCCATAGAAGTGTTGATATGCCACTAAACAAAATCAACAAAACCACCAACATGAATGAATTATCATGACATTAATCCATATAATATCCCAACAAGAAAACTACAACATAAAACACACATATCACCACCTCCCGTATTTATATCCGCACAAACATGTATATGCACAAAAGCCGAATATCATCTACCATGTATTCAATTGTGAAAGCAGAATAACACATATACTTTTATTATTTCAAGGCTCCCCCTCCCCCAAAATTAAATGATTCATAAGGAGTTGATATGCCATTAAACAAATCAATCGACTGATGCTTTAAAAATTAGTATGTATTTTCCTAAGCATAAACAAACTGGAACATTAAATTATTTTACTTTTTACTCAAAGATATTTTAAACAAGAATAGGATTTTATCCCTTCTTTCCTGTTTAAAATTCAGTTTCCGGTTTCTTCTAAAATCTACTTTATGGTTATAATCCTAACTCATGTCCTTTCCTATTCTAATATAACTCCACACAATTACCTTGAGTGGCTCAGGCCTTGTATTGGGTAAATATTAATAATATATATATATACATGTCCAAATGTAAAAGAATGAAGAGCAAGATTTCAGCATTTAAAACATTAATTGAAAGTTCGTAATTCTAAAGATAATAGACACTGCATCACTACCAATGGCTGTTCTCCAATTGGGAAGTTTTGAGGAGTGTGGAACTGCCTCTTAATTGCTGTTGTTCCCAGGTTCACCCTGACCCGGGGTGGTAGCACCTGTTAGGGTCCTAGCTATGGGCAGATAGTTAACCCTCAAGCTGGGGTCAAAACACTATGAAAGTAAAAATAAAGTAGATTTTTATATCAAATACCAGCAATACATTTTTGTATAATTATTAATGCTGCTAAGAAAATTAAATTTCAGCATTAAATGATCCATAAGGAGTTGATAAGCTGTAAAACAAAATAAATCTATAAACCGACACTAACAATGGTTAGTTCAGTTTGCTGGGTAGAATTGCCAATTTAGCTTCTTTTTTTTTTCAGTGCCTTTAGCTGCTGTACACCAGCATCTGACCCTCTTTATTATTTATAAAAGGAAAAATCAATCTTTTTATCAAGGAAAAGAACCATGATTTAACAGCAATAAATGCACTAAAAACAAAAGCAAACAAATATTTATAAATATTGTGTTCTATTATCAAATGATGAGTTTTCTAGCAATCGTCAACTCTACACCATAAGCGGAAGAAATTTTTTTTTTTTTTTTATATATCTGCAGACATTACTATACTTGAAATACAATCATCTAAATAAAAATGAATTGGATTGTTCAGGTCTAGAAAAATTCTAGATTGTTTGCTAACCCAAATTTTTCATGTCTTGCTGTGTGTTTCTGCCTTGTCACTACACCAGGTTTCACTACATACGCCTTTACTGGGCTTTCTCAATCTGCATTGTGTCAGACATAATAAAGATAGAATTGTGACAGTTACCTGTTTGTATTCATACATAACACTAAACATTTGGCTTTTTGAAACCTATGAAGTTTTATTTACTTCTACAAAGAAAAAAATAGTTTTTGATTAAAAAATAATTATCTTAAGGATTAAGGTCAGTTCTTTCATGAATATAATTGATTTGGTTTTTATGGCTTATCAACCTTTTGCAGGTTATTTAAAACCAGAAAATATTTTTAGATTGTAAGAATTTTTTTTTTGGAGATAATAATTCTTTACTGATACATATCCTACTAATTAACCCATAGCTGGTGGGAGAGAAGTGGATTCATACCATCCCCAAGTGAATATAGGGAACCCAACTGGAATTAAAACTCGGCTTTCCAATTCCAAGCCGTTATCCATTGCACTATCCACACATTCAAGTGTACAACACCTGGTATTCCCAAATGTCATGAATGTGTGATGCTGATTGAATAAAAGTATTCATTCTATAGAGGTACATCTATGTGGCCTTAAAATATGAGAAAATACAACCAGAGACAGTTGCTGCACTTTTGAGGTTTCAATTTCAAATACTCTCACACACTGAGGTCAGTTGTAGAGATTCCTGAATGGACTACTAAATTTTGAATGTCACTGCTTGAAACTTTTGGAGCTCATTTTAAAATAAGCTTGGTTAACATGAGATGAAAGTCAATTTCAAATTTAGTATCCCAAATCTGTCAAGTTGGCTTTGGTGAGTGATCTTATCTGAAAAACTCGATCAAGTCAGTTCCAAGGGAGATAAGATTATTTGCATTCTTACTATTCTGTCAGCCACAAAATAAGTTTCTCTGACTTTGCAATGAATTGAAATATCCCATTCCATATTTCCCTCAATTTGAGCTTTTTGAATCTGAAATCCTCCAGAGATGTGGCACCAGATAACCTACTTGCAACTGGCAGTATCTCAATAAACAAGGTAAAACGATAACCTTGCTATTTCATAACAGCCATATTTTGAATTTCCATTGTTGATATGAATTTTGGTCTGTTGTCATTATTTGCTAAAATGTTGAAAAATTGAGAATTTTTTTTTTTT